GTTTTTTTAAAAAAACAAAATAGTGTAGAAAATATCAGAATATATACAATGGAATAAAGGTGTCTATTGTTGAGGAAAAGTTACTTTCTGACTTTTAAATAATGTGATTGGCAAAGCACCTTTATTGCATATGTACCTACTGGGTCACAATGTAAAGTGTATTTCTTACACTTCTTGCTGTTGTAAACACTTTTCTGAAGTCCTGTAATGTCTGACTTCTAACTTACCACAGACTTGAAATATAGGTGATGTAGTCTTTTCCAAAAGTTATGCACATTTGTTGAGTGTGTTTTTTAGTGCAAATTACAAATTATCCTTCAAATAGGAAATTACTTTCCAAAACAAACAAAGAACATATCAAGGCCTGTTCAGACATTTTAAATGGCAAAAGTTCACTGGTATCTTGGACTAAGTTACTGTCATATCTGGGGACAGAAAAAGCACTAGCTATAAACATCTCGGCTGATGTAGAGGACTATTTACTACAACAGGTTAGGCACAAGCACCAGGGAGGAAAAGGCAGGAAGAAAGAAGCCACAATACAATGAAGCAACCAAAATATTCTGAATGTTAAAACTGAAATCAAGGTCATGACCTGTCCCAACAACTTGCCTGTTTTGGTAGTATCTGTAAGGGAAGAGGGAGCCCAGGACTGATGAATCTCTATGAGACAAAAGGCAAGTAGGTGGCTCCCAAGGTGTTAGAGAACACTGGGTACTGACTGAGCCATGGGCATAAGCTTCCCTTTTTGGTAACAGCAATGTTTTGGAACTATACAGAAGTAGCAATTGCACAATATGGAAAATACGCCAAATGTCACTGAGTTTTATTTACTTATTTGGTGCTGGTATTGTGGTTTGAATATTCAGATCACTCTTTCACTGGGCTTTTTTGCTTGGTTTTTTCACTCACAGCTGGCACTTGAGCTATGCCTTGAACTGGGTATTTTGTTCGTTAATTATAGAGATGAAGTCTCTCAGACTTTTCTGCCTGCTCTGGCTTTGAATCATGATCTTCAGATTCAGCCACCTGAGAAGCTAGGATTATGGGTGGTGTCCATCTTTTAATTGTATGTATTAAAGTGGTTAATTTTATAAGTGAATAGCACCTTGATTTAACAATAATAAAGTTAGGAAGGAAGATGGGAGGGATAGAAAGACAGAGAAAAATTAGTTCTAATGAAAAGAAGGATGAATATCTGAAATGAGAATGGCAGGATTACAGAGAGACTCAGGGCCCTGGGGAACTCTGTTTTAAAGACTTCCTTTTGTCCAAGGTCCAGCTGGGCTCCAGTGTGTTAGGGTGAAATGAGTGAGAGGGAGGAAAGGGGCTGATAGGACGCAGGGAAGAATGGCCAGAAGTGCCTTAGCAAAGGAACAAATTCAGAGCTGTTGGAAAGAGCAAGTCAGTGTTCCCAGCACAGCACTGACTGTCACCCGTGCACGGGAAGGGATCAGGCATGCTGCATTTGGGGACACTTTAATCCTTCACACAAAGGGAGGCCAAATGAGGACAGACCTGCCATCATGCAATGCCATAAAAGTAAAGACAAAGGCACTAGGCAGAATGAAAGAGAATTTAAAATAGAAAGAGGGAAATAAATCAATATTGGTGCAGTTGCTGGGCAGTTTGACTTTTTTAGACTCAGAACTTTCACACAGGCTTTAGGTCTTTCTACTTACCCTGAAGACCAACATCTTCTACTAAGAGCTAATTAGCATATTTATGAGTAAGAGAACTATTTATGGCCAGCCTTATCATCTATTAGCAAAAGTGGCAGGATACCACCGTCTGTGCATTTACTACACGCCTCTCACACCCTGTAAGGAGTCTGGTCTATCAAGCTAGGGGAGCCACACTTTGCTTTCTAGGGGAGCTGCAGAACACATGGACTACTTCTCTATCATTAGAGGGGCTTGGAGGCTTGGAGTCCTGGTGACTGGTAGAAGAAACTGGTACTTAGGAAACACCAGATCGTGTCAAGCTTCATTGCAACTTCTTATTAGACTGGCAAATTGGCCATTCTTGTTCTTGCTTTCCTCACCTGAAAAGTGACATCTACCCAAAGGGCCCTGTGAATTGTGAATGTAAACTACCCAAGAGTATGAGTGTGTATGTGTGTGTGTGTGTGTGTGTGAAAGAGGAGCTAAAAGGAGGGAGAGAGGTAGAGAAGAAAGGAGAGAGGGAGAGAGGAAAGGAGAGATGGAGGGAGGAAGAAGGGGAGAGAAGGAGAGGGGAAGAGAGAGGGAGAGGGAGGGAGGGAGAGGAACTTCCTCACTGCTCTGTAGAGCAGCTGTTTCTAATCAAATGGGATGTGTGAGGCGTGGGGAGAGTATTCAGGCCCGGGGTAGTGATGTAGTGATACAGGGAAAGAAGCCAGAGAAAGCTGAATTTCTTGGGGAAAGAAACAGGGGTGGGGTTCAGTGAAATGGCCAATGTATGTTCCCAGGTTCTAGAGAAGGGCTCAGGGACCTGTCCAACACAGGGAGAGGCTCCTCACTCTTACTAAGGAACCGAGTTTGTTGCCTATAGCGAGGACGCCAGCAAAGAGACTCACCTACCTAGGGTGCTTTACTACCATATCCAAACCCAGCTATTCTTGACCCTTTCACTCTAGATCCTTATAACATTCCTAACTATCACTGTTTATTCTGGGACATTGGCTCTCCTCATAAATACAAGGCATATCACGTAAATTGCCTGGTTAAAGGCATATAAACTGGCTTACAAACTTGTAGGTTTGTTAACAAATCTGTGCCGAGGGAAGATCTGTTGGAGATGCCATGAAGGACAAAGGAAAAGTATGGTCTTGGCTGGGGGAGATGAGATACCCAGAAAGCAACAAGGCAGGAAATGTCAAGAAGTTGGTGGGAGTGGGAAGTTCCAAAGTACAACAGCAAAGCTCAGACCGTGGGTAGGGCCAGTCCTGGAGGGGTCTCACAGTCTCTTCCCACAGAGTGGATGATCCTGGCCTGTCTTGCTCAGCAGTGGCACATTCAGGATCAAGAGGCACTGCTGGATGGTAGGACAGGACCCATTCTAGCACTAGTATTTTATGACAGACATGGATTAGAATTGATGGTATTTGGCTGGGTGCTGGTGGCTCACGCTGGAGATTCTAGTTATTCAGGAGGCTGTGCCGGATCGAAGCTAGCCAAGGCAGGAAAGTCTGCGAGTCTCATCTCCAATAAACCACTCAGAAAAAGCCAGAAGTGGCACTGTGGCTCAAACAGTAGAGTGCTAAACTTGAGCAAAGGCAGCTCAGGGACAGCACCTAAGCTCTGATTCAAGCCCCAGGACTGACACTAACACACACACACTCTCTCTCTCTCTCTCTCACACACACACACACACGAATTGCTGGTTCTCAGTGATCATAAAAAACCAAACATTTTTGAGTGTGTTTTTTCTTTTCTAGTTATTTTAAACTCCATATAAAGACCAAGGCCTCATTATTGCTTGTATGCAGTATGGACAGACTCATTTGGCTTGCTACTGTCTCTAGGCCTTAGTTTCAGAATCACTGAAAAAAATAAGCCCTGTCTGCACTCTAACAAAGCGCTTTTTGGAAGGGTTGAAAAGAGACAGCTAAGTGGGAATTCTTCTGGCACTTAACAGGCGGTCCTTTCCTTCTTTCCTCCTCTCCTCTTACCCTCCCAAGTTGTTCCAGAGTCCAATGTGGATAAATTAGCCAGGGTCCGTTCAGTGGTTCGTCTACCTCGGCACCATCTACCCCATCTAGCCCACCCCATCCTGTCCGCGAGGAAGTCAGAGGCAGGGTAGAAACCATCAGTTTTGAAGTCCATTCCCTGAAAGGTGCCCACAACCCTGCTGGGGAGCTGCTGTGAGGAGGAGTTGCTGGGGCGGACTCAGCATTGGGGCACACCTGTCCTCCGCTGTTCCCCCCAAACACGACGCAAGACACCACGTAACAAGGTGCGAAACCGCACACGGGTCACCGGGCGGTGCAGGAGTTCTCGTTTCCCCCACGCGGTGGGTGGTAATGTCCCGTGCGCAGCACCCTGGGGCCCCACTTGGGGCTGGCTCTGATTTTCCCCAAGGGCATCCCTTCAAATGCACACTGAGCCAAGAGGAAGCGTGCGAGCACTCCGTCTTTGTCACCTCTTCATCCTGATATGTGGGAGCAAGAGAGGGCGCAAAAAGAACAAAACCCACTAGGACTTTCTTCTGCGTGTAAAACGCCGGTGAGTGTTCCTAACAGACTACTGCTTCGGAAGAGAAAGAATAGGAAACATTGAACCACTTTAAGCAAACATATTCATTTGGTCACAGTAGCCGGACCCTTGAAGGCACACGATTAGTGGGGATGTGTTTCAGGTGAACCCCCTCCTTCCCGAAGATGAGGAAGCTAGGCTCCAAAGGTGCGCAGGGACCCTGGTTCTGGGGAGAGGTCCCTTTCCTCAATCCAGCGGGAATGGAGGTTCCTGGTAACAAAGAACTCCCCCCACCCCACCCTGTGGCTGCCCGGTCCCAGGCTATATCTCCTCGTCCCAGCCCCTCCCGGGGGCGGGGGGGGGGAACCTGAGCGGAGCGTCTTCGGTGGATACAGTGCTGGGGGCTTTTCTCTACATCCTTTTCTTCCCCGAAAACGTGCAAAAACCAACTCAAAGCAGAACAAAACAGCGAAAGTGGCCCTCTGCATTTTGCGTGGGAAGGGAGGACCCGGCCCCACACCGATCCGACCAGACCCGACGTGAAAGGCTCTTCGGGAGGTGACCGTGCGCGCAGCCGGCCAACAAAGAACTCCTGCAGCGCGGGGAGCGCCGGCCCCTGGCTGCCGCCCCGGGGGGCCTCACCCGCCCCGCCGAGCCGGGGGTGGGGGGCACCCCCCAGCCTGCCCCCTGCACGGCTTCAGGAGCACACGGAGGCGGGGTGGAGGCCAGGGCACCCTCTCCAGGTGCAGGCACAGCCCGGCCGCCCGTGTCCGAGCTCAGCGCCCCCCACCCCCCGCCCCGTCCCGGACTCCGGGCGGCTCTCACCTGGCTCGCGGGCAGGGGTGCGGGCCGACAGCAGGGGGCCGCACAGGCTGAGGCCAGCGGCGACCAGCAGCAGCCGCCCCGGCCCCATTGTCCGCCGGCGCCGGCTCGACGCGGTGCGGCGCGAGGACGCGTCCGGCCGCGGGCGGCTGGGCTCGGCTTCCCGCGGTGCTCTCGCTACTTTCGGCCGCCGCGGGCAGAGGCCGCCTGGGATCCGCGTCGATCTCAGCCTGCGGGCAAGAAAGGAGAGCGGGGCGCCTGGGCGGGAGCAGGGCTTGGACTGGGCTGGCCGAGGGAGGGGCGCGGCGGGCGGGGACTCGACGGGCCGGGGCGGGGCCAGAGGGGCGTGTCCCCGAGGGGCGTGGTCCGAGGAGGGCGGGGCCAGTGGGGGACCTCGGAGCGCGGGCGCCAGCAGCGCCTCCCCGCGGTCCCCGCTCTCTGGGCCCGGACGCCGCGGTCCCCAAGCCCCAGCCACCCCGCCGGATGCCGGCGAGGAGGAAGCATCCAGGGCGCCGGCCCCGCCCGCAGGCGCGCTGGGGATCCAGCCCTGCGCTGCCACTCGTTTGGAAAGTTAGTCGCGAGCTTTGGATTTCAAAGCCCCCCATTAAGACAATCAGCCACCCGCAGCGGTAGGAGGGTAGATTTCACCGTGACAGTTTCCCGCAGGTACGCCATGGGTCCCCATCCGGTCCCTCTCCTGAGCGCAGACGGTGGCGCACCTGGCACTCTTTAGAGTGGCTGCCAGGGGAACTGGCCGTCCCCATTCAAATGCTGCTGGCCCTCGTTCTTCCTGCCCGGCTCCAGCTCTCACCGGAATTCCCCCTGAGGTCCCCGCTGCCCACCAGGGCCTCCGCCCCAGGCCCCGGGCAGAGCGCGCGGAGGGCAGCGGGCGGTGCCGCTCGGGCGCCTCCGGCGCGAGGGACGCGCCGGGCCCAGGCGCCCGCCCGGCCAGCCTCATGGAGTGTTCATGAACGTTACTGAGTTTGGGTACACTCAAGGCTCAGGGCTCAGGGCCCGCAAGTGGTTGTCGAGACTGTGGTTTGGTGAGCAGGAGCTCACAGCTTACTCTGTTTAGACAGCGTCCCTGGAGAGAACTTTTAGACCGCACAACAAGTGGGGTTTCTTTCTAGAACTCAACAGGGTCCCTAACTTGGAAGCTCAGGCTACCGTCTGTGCGTATTGCACCCCGAGGCAAAGGCCGGTAGTGGGTGGTGGGGTGCCCGAGGCTTTTTGGAAAGGGAATTTCAGCCCTGACACTGGAATTGGTGGGAAAAAATAATAGGATCAGAGATTTCTTTCTTCCCTGTATTCTCCCACCATTCTCACACACTGATTTCTTTTAAAATACGCAGATGTTGATCAATAAATTTGGAGATGCCCAGCGAAATCAGGCTATTTAAAATCATTTCTAATTAAATTCTCCTAGGAAAACATGTCTAAAGTGGGAAGCCGGAATCACTAGAAGATCGTCTCCTCCTCCACCCTCCTCTCACCTCTTTCTTTTTTTTGCCAGCACTGGGGCTTAAACTCAGGCTTTCTTTCTTTTTTTGGGGGGGGGGGTCTGGTTGTGGGGCCTGAACTCTGGGCCTGGGCACTGTCCCTCAGCTCTTCAGCTCAAGGGTAGCGCTCAACCACTTGAGCCATAGCGCCACTTCCGGCTTTTTTCTTTTTGCTTATGTGGTGCTGAGGAATGGAATCCAGGGCCTCAGGCATGCAAAGCAAGCGCTCTACCACTGAGCCACCTTTCCAGCCTTGGCCAACTCAGGCTTTCTTGCTTGGCTTTTTTGCGCAAGGCTAGTGTTCTACCACCTGAGCCACACCTTCACTCCAGCTTTTTGTGGTTTGTTGGAGATGAGAGTCTCCAGACCTTTTTCTGTCCAGGCTGTTTTTAAACTTCAATCTTTAGATTTCAGCCTTCTAACTAGGATTACAGGTATGAGCCATTCAGCTTCCCCCAAAATCTTTCTATATTCATTATTGACACTTTTCATCTAAGATGCTGTTGCCTTTTTTTTTTTTTTTTGGTAGGTCCTGGGGCTTGAAACTCTTGGCCTGGCACAAACCCACAGGTCTTCAGCTTAAGGCTAGCAGTCTGCCACTTGAGCTACAGCTCCACTTCGTTTTCTGGTGGTTAATTGGAGATGAGTCTCATGGATTTTCCTGCCTGAGATTGGCTTTGAACAGCGATCCTCAGGATCTCAGCCTCCTGAGTAGCTAGGATTAAAGGCCTTAGCCACCAGCATCCAGCTGATGCTGTTAACATTTAGATTCATCATTATACAAAAAAAAAATCAATTAATCTGGGGACCTACCATTGATTGTAGGAAACACTCCAATGTCAGAGTTGTTAAACAGGAAGAGCATCTTAGAAGCAACAAACAACAATTTAAAGTATAATAGTAGTAGGATGTGGTAAAATATTTCTGACAGCTCCAAGGATATAAAGTGAAAAGCATAATTATCTCTCCTTGTCCACTGGGGCTAGTATAGTGGTACTATACTAGTGCAGTGGGTACTTGTAATCTGGGCAGTACCACAGTGTACAGTATCTCCTGTAGAACCGACACAGCGCCAGAGCAAATGTGCCTGTTTCACACCCTGATTCCTCCTTTATATCACTACTCTTGTGCTTTTCTGTCATTCTGTCATTTAAATAAAATAAAGGTTACTTAAACACAAGCCCTGGGATTCTGGGACACCTGATCTACTATGGAGATGGCTATGGAGGTGGGTAGTGTATACAGTGTGGACATACTGAATCAGTCATAATACCCTGTGCTGGATGGATGGAATGAGATTTCATCACTCTAGTCAGCAGGGCATTAAAACTTAGGAATTATTTCTGAAACTTTCTATTCAATATTTTCAAACATGGGTTAGTTGCAGTTAAATAAAAGCATAGAAAACAAAGCTGTGGATAAAGCAGAGACTTACCCCTCTGCCACATCTCCCAAGCTCTCCCTCATTACTGTTAACTTTTCTGTTCACCATTCAAGAACTTGTACTCTCATATAAAAAAATGCATGTATATCTTTAAGAGAATGCACTATGGGTATGCTTCTAAATGTTACTTCATGGGTGAGAGATGTTTTTAATCATTTTATAGAACTGTACAGCTTCAAAGCATGCTTTGGAGTCTTAGCTATTAGAATAAAAACAGGGTTCCCCAAAACAATGAAATATTTATTTGTACATATTAATAAAGTGCCCTTCAGAGCGGGGCTGACTGCAATGACTGACAGTGGCACAGAATGAGGCATTTCTCCTTTCTTGAGTAGTCACCAAAAGTCACTAGAGCAGTCACCAAAGCTGAACTCACTTCCAAAAGCAACAGGAGTGGATTCCTGGATCCCCCTTCTGGATCTCAGGTTCTAGAATCTCCATGTTTGACAAGTACACACTCCCAGGTGATGCTGAGATCTGAAGGCTCCCAGAGCAAAGTTTTGAGAAACATCACAGGGAAGATTCACTAGGAGGCCTGAAGCCAGAGCATTGCTAAGCCAGGCATGGTTTGGTTATTACATTTCTAACAAATTCCCACGCTCAGACACAGAGGAACACATTTTGAAAACTATGGCTTTAAGAAAACTGGAAAAACAACAAGATACCACATACCATTGGCCTTTGATGTCCCAAGGGGATTGGTTCCAGGATCTCCTAGAAACCCCAAATCTAAGGATGCTCGTCTCTCACATAAAATGGCCTGGTATTTGTACAAATCTTACACATAAACCTTCAGTGGACTTCAAATATTCTCTAGATTATGAGTACATGATACAATGAAAATGCAATGTAAATAATTGTTATACTGTATTGTTTAAGGAAAGAAAAAATGTTTTATATGTATAGCACAGATGTAATTTCCCCTCCTAGTATTTCCCACCTTCCCCAGCATCATTCATAAGTATGTGATACTAGCCCTTGTGTTTTCATTTTCTCAGTTTTAACTTGTCTGGCAGCAAGCAGTGTGTCATTAGCCACCTTTCCATGTTTATGGTATTTCTGAGTGCATTTACTGGCCTGGAACCATGATCCTCTCAATCTCTACCTCCCACATTGTTGGGATTATAAGCATGTGCCATCATGCTTGGCCTCTACAACTGCTTTCTATTTTTTTCTACCACGGTTTGAACTCACAGCTTGGCTTTCTTGTATGGCTGGCACATCTATCTCTTGAGCCATGCCTCCATCTAGGTTTTTTGTTGGTTATTTTGTTTTTTTTTTTTTTTTTTTTTGGTCGGTCGTGGGGCTTGAACTCTGGGCTTGGGCGCTGTCCCTCAGCTCTTCAGCTCAAGGCGAGCGCTCTACCACTTGAGCTACAGCGCCACTTCCTTTGTTGGTTATTTTGGAGATGGAGTCTCATAGACTTTTCTGCCTGGGCAAGCTTTGAACTTTGGTCTTCCAAATCTCAGCCTTCTGAACAGTTAGGATTACAAACATGAGCTCATGGTGCCCAGTGCCACTTTTTTTCTTTTTAAAGAAAACAATGAATTGTAATTAAGTGACATGCTAAACAGCAGCTAGCCTGTTTCTCTTTTGTTGCTACAAGCTTGTATTGGTATTCTGGGCTTGGAATATAGTTAATCTCATAAACCTTGGAGAGAGTGGCACACTATCCTTATGATTTAGGGTACAGAGAAAAAGACACACTCAGTATCTTACAAAGAAAAATAAGAATAAACTGGATGCCAGTGGCTCATGCTTATAGTCCTAGCTACTCAGTAGGCTAAGATCAGAGGATCATAGCTTGAAGTCAGCCTGTGTAGGAAAGTCATTGAGATTCATCTCCAATAAACTTACCGACTCCCCCCACCAAAAAAAAAGCCAGAAGTGAAGCTGTAACTCAAGATGTGGAATGCTGGCCTTGAGCAAAAGCAGCTCAGAGACAATGCCCAGGCCCAGGGTTCAAGCCCCAGGACTGTGCGCGCACAGACTTAGACACAGGCACAGGCACAGACACAGACACACAGACACACAGACACACACAGACACACACACACACACACACACAGGCACACACACACAGAGCAGCAGCAGCAGCAAACACTGCAGTTCAATTAGGTGAATGTAATATCTTAGTTCTCTTTGCTGACTTTCCTTCCCATAGATTTAAAGTAGGAAGTTTTCTCCTGTCATGAGAAATCACAGAACCAACCTGAGAAGTCTGTCCTAATGACTATCTGGAGACAGAGGCTTTTCTCCCACTGCCAGCACCCATGTCTGTGTCGGCCAAGACTCTGGCCTTACAGAGGGACTAAAACCAAGCTGTTGTCCTCTGGAGCTCAGAGAACTCTACTAATTCTACTTTAACCTGTCCCCATGTCTTGGTTTCAGTAACAGAGGCAACAGTTTTCACAAAGCTAACAGGCAGTGAGACCATCCAGGGCCCATGGGAATGCTTCATGGGGATCACTTTCACCACTGACAGTTCTGTGGTTCACCTCTTGAGGCATTTGAGGGCTGCCACAAACCCTTACTTAACTACACTCATAAAAATCCCATTGTGAATGGCACCTCTGACTGGTGTCCAGACACACCCCCCCCTACCCCGCCACACACACACCATGCAATCACACAGGGCTCTGCTCTTTCTTGGCTACTAATCTCTGAACTAAGGGTCCAGGCCTCCTTCCCTCGCTTGGCACTGATAGTTCATTTGGTCTGGGAGATTGCCCACAGGGCTTCTCCACTTTCTTTTGGTCCTTTGGAAGTGTCATGTGACACAGTGAAGTTTATAGGTGCAGGGAACCCCCACAAAGATCACTTTTGTAGTGCAGATAACATGATCAAATAAACATCAAAATAGAGCCAGCTTTGCAAAATCAAATTATCATCCTATTTGACTGTATTCTATTAAATATATATTATGAAATTTTATTATTATAATGTCTATTATTTCCTATGGAGGATGATTAAATGTAACAACATAAAAAACTAGTATGGCTTATCAGGACATATATAGATATATAAACATTATTAAACATCATGGATTTGGCTGGTTGCCAGTGGCTCATTATCTGTAATCCTAGCTCCTCAGGAGGCTGAGTATAGAAGGATCATCATCTAAGACCAGCTTGAGCAGAGAAGTTCCTTAGACCTATCTCAAAAATAACCATCTAAAAACCACTGCTGGAGTCCAGGCTCAAGGGGTAGAGCACTAGGCTAATGACTGAGGTTCTGAGTTCAATACAGAAAAAAATCCCTCAACTGAAGGACAACTGATAATGGCCTCAGTGCTACCCTCATCTTGGCCAACAGAGAGCAAGCTCTATGGCCTTTCCTGAAAGCCACTGGAATGACAGGAACCCCCTTGTCCTCATACGTACACCATGCTCAAGGCCTCAGTGTTGGAATAGTCTAAGACAGGGTCAGCTCAGAGATGCCGGGAGAGACTGGCCCTTGCCTCCAGACACCGCTCTGTAATTTTTTATCTGCCAGACATTTCTACTAAAAGCCTTTGTTGAAGCAGGGAGGAAGCTTAGCAACCCTTGGGGCAGATCCCTACTTTTCAATGCATACGTTTGTTCTCAAGGCGTCACTTGATTCCCCTCACAGAAAACTGCAGTCAGGGCAACACTACAAACCATCCCCACATCCATCACCAATTGAGATCGCATCTGTTTTAAGGTATTCACCTCTGTGTCAAAAAATACATTCCTGGCTAGTTGCCAGTGACTCACACCTGTAACCCTAGCTGATCATCTGTGCTTAAAGTCAGCTGAGTAATGAGACTTACCTCCAATTTACCGCCAAGAAGTAGAACTGGTTCAAGTGGTAGAGTGCTAGCCTTGAGCAAAAATGCTCAGGGACAGTCCCCAGGCCCTGAGTTCAAGCTCCAAAACTGCTCCCTCCATGTTCCCTCTCCCCACTCCCCCCCAAAAAAGAAAGTATACCTGAAATAATCACTAGTAGAATTTGTTACTTTGGTGATTTTTCCAAATTCATATTTTCATACATAAGTTCATTCGTGCCATAAGTGCATATTTTACAATCACTAAGGAAAATAAAGCCTATTGGAGAAATGAACAGGAGAGTCAGTGACGGACATGACAGCTGCATCTGAGTTCCTGTTGTGGTGCAAACAGCCCAGCTGTTCCTGGAGTTACTCTCCTTCCCTTCCTCTTAAGAGAATCACCTTGCTCTCCATCCCTGGCTTCAGTTGGGTGCATGAATAAATACTGCTATCTTTGTGGAGAGGGTGGAATAGGTGGTTTAGGTCTTGAGGAAGGAAGTTGGGTATGTGGGGACTGGATTAGTTATCAACAGACTGGCTTGTTATAAAGCAAGGGCACTTTGAGTGTTTTTGCTCCGGCATGGGATGCAGCTGATAGGAGGCTCACATCAGAAGCCAAACAGGTCCTGGTACCAGGCTCTCAGACCTCCAGTATGGTGAGTTAAATATATTTTCTTTATAAAGAACTTGGCCTCAGGTATTTTGTTATAGCAACACAAAATAGACTTGAACTAGCTATGACCAACAAAATGTAATCAGAAGTGACTTGTATAATTGGAAGTCTTTGCCCTGGATTCCATTCTGCATTCTTGCTAGTTGAGCATCACTGGACAGTACAAATCCAGGGAACCCAACTGGTTCCTTGGATTACTCCATGGATACATACATTTACCTTTGAATGACTGAACTTGGGAAAAAAACAAACTTGTCTGTCTTGTTTCCGTGGCAAGGAAGAACTTACAGTATCTTACTGCAAATAATAAGTAAGATATTATTTCTTTTTCTCATAAGCTCCAACAAGAATCTTCTACCCACTACACAATTTAGATTTACTAAGTCAATGTAAAAGTCACAGTAATGGAGCTGAGTGTTGTGGCACATACCTGTAATCCTAGTACTCTGGAGGCTAAATTTTAGGCAGAAGGATCATGAGCTTGAGGCAGGCTTAGACTACACAGTGAGACTGTGTGTCAAAAAGCTAAAAAGAAAAGGGTGGGTGGGGGGAAGGCACATCAACGTAATTAAGTAACATTTATTTTACATAAAACAATTTTCAAAGAATACATTTAAAAACAATCTAGATACTGATTTTTATATCATTACAAAAAATTGAGAGGCACAATTGTAGTATTCAAATAAATTGTGAGGGGTAGTAGAGGTGGGGGCTGTGACACTGTCCATAGTATTTCTTGGGCACTAGAGACTCTAATGTATTAGAGTCTTTGCAGGAGTAGTGCACTTTCTTTTAGTAGGAATAAATCACATAAAATATATACTTTCATACTGAAAGTGCTACTGTATTGTCACTTTCAATTACTTATAAAAACTTCATCTTGAATTGCACAAAAGTTCTCTTTAAAATCAGTAATTCCCAGATGACAGGGCTTCGAACTCAACATCTAAATAATTCATTACAAATTCATTAGGTTTACATTTCTTCATAGATCAAAAAAAATCCATGAAGAATTTACATTATTCAAGTGGGATATTTTAAAATTTCTCATAGGAAAATAAGTTTACACATTTGTCTCTAGTCATCTAAACTTGTCTTTCTAGTTTAAAATAATCACCGGGTATTGAGAGTTCAATTAAGAGTACCTAGCTATACCACAGTACAATGTGGATGTGTTTACATTAATTCATTTGTGTGTGTGTTATCTTACTGTAGTATCAAATTATCAAAAAGGCACATGGGTACATTCTTCCAAACAGTTTTGGTCTTTTAAGAAAAATCACACGTTTAAGAGCAGTGATTTCAATCATGTTAAAAACAAAAATACTAAGCAAATTCATTTCTTAATCCAGATGATACGGAATCCATGACATCTCTGCAGGCACTTCATTTTCCATAGAACTTCTTGTTGAGCAGGTATATGAGAAGGTTGACATTCACTTTAACCTTTTCGAACATTTTCATCACAGATACTCCTTCATATTGCATCTGGAGCAAATCCTGAAACCGGAGGAAACAGCATGGAATCTCAACTTTGACATTCTGCACATTTTGCAAGTAGAATTTATCTGGTGACAAAAGACTCAATTGGTCTAATGACCTAGATGGAGAGTGGCATCCTTAAATTTTAGTGAGCCCTGGAATCATCTGATTAAAAATATAGTTTAGGATAGGTGCTGGAGGCTCATGCCTGTCATCCTAGCTACTTTAAGAGGCTGAGATCTGAGAATCATAATTTGAAGTCAGCCCAAGCAAGAAAAGTCTGTGAGACTCTCATCTCCAGTTAATCACAGAATGACTAAGTTGGAGCTGTAGATCAAGTGGTAGAGCACTAGCCTTGAGCAAAAGAGCTCAGGGACAGTGCCCTAGGCTCCAAGATCAAGCCTAGCACACATACAAAATTGCTCATAGCTTAGTTAAAACTCAGATTTCTCAGCCCCCATAGATTCTCATTTTTACCATCTTCCCAGTTTATGATGATATTGCTGATCAGGGTGCCACACTTTGAGAATCATTCCCTAAATGAAGGAAAGTAGGATTCTAAACCATAAATGGGAGAATGGTAGCTCAGTTGGGGAAACATTTGCCTAGCATGAAGGAGGGTCCTGAGTTTCATCCCAACTACTGCAAAAATAAAAGAAAACAAAAATAAAAGGACTACATGAAGAAAATAATTACCATCAATTGAGTATCATATATACATATATATATATAATTATAATTTTCAGTTGAAAAAGCTCAACTTAGCTGTGTGCCAGTGGCTCACACCTGTAATCCTAGCTTCTCAGGAGGCTGAGATCTGAGGATAATGGTTCAAAGCCAGCCCAGACAGGAAAAGTCCGTGAGACTCTTATCTCCAATGAACCACCAGAAAGCCGGAAGTGGTGTTGTGGCTCAAGTGGTAGAGTGCTCAGCTTGAGCTGAAGAGCTCAGGGACAGCGCCCAGGCCCACAGTTCAAGCCCTATGACTGACCAAAAAAAAAAAAAGCTCAACTTTTCCACTGAGATCGAGCATTTTCTTTTAGAGCAGTTGTATTTTTTAAAGTTAAATGGACAAGACTACTTGTTGGAGAGCAAACTAATACTGTAAGTCTATTGATTAATTTTGTTATTTGTCAAATACTTAAATGTTTGTATATATTGTATACTTTTTGGGGATTTGGTATTTGAACTCAAGGCCTCATCCTTGCATGGCTTGCTTGCTCAGCTGGCTCTCTAGTACTTCAGCCATGTCTCCAGTCTAGCTTTTTGCTGGTCATTTTTGTTGTTGTTGTTTTTTGTTTTATTGGTCGTGGGGCCTGAACTCTGGGCCTGGGCGCTGTCCCTCAGCTCAAGGCTCAAGGCTAGTGCTCTACCGCTTGAGCCACAGCACCACTTCCAGCTTTTTCTGCTTATGTGGTGCTGAAGAATGAAACCCAGGGCCTCATGCATGCAAGGCAAGCACTCTACCACTGAGCCACCTTCCCCAAAGACCTTTGCTGGTCATTTTTGAAGATGAAATGTTAGTGCTTTTTTTTTTTCCTTGTCCAGTCTGGCTTTGAACCATGATCCTCTGGATCTAAACCTTATGAGTAACTAGTATTTCAGGCATGTGATACTGGTGCCTACTCTAAAGTCTATTTTAGAGTACAGGAATAGAAGCATGTATATTTTATAAACAGATACATATGCATGGGGATGAGGACACTATATACAGATGAAAATAATGACCACAGTTTACAGACCATTGTGTCAAGCAATTCCTTACAGATCCAGATTACTTTTGCTCCTGTATTGAAAATAAGGCCTCATTCCCAGGCTTTAATTGCTATGATATGGACAAAGGAAGTCAACTTTCTAATACAAATAACTGGGTCTCACCAGTCATATGCATGAGACTGAGCAGCAACATTTTCCCCTATAGCAAACCACAGACAAAAAAAAAAAAAAAAGGCTTCCCCAGGTAGAAGGCTTCATTCCTGAATTATTCCAGACTAAGATTAGTCCTGGGAATTTCTTTAGTTTAAAAAAAATTTTTGTTTGTTGGTTTTTGTGCCAGTTCTAGGTCTTGAACTCAGGGCCTGAGCATTGTCCCTAAGCTTCTTTTGCTAGCACTCTACTACTTGAGTGACAATTTCACTTCTGGCTTTTTGGTAGTTTTTTTTTTTTTTTTTTTGAGATAAGTGTCTCACAAACTTTCCTACCTGGGATGGTTTCAAACCCTGATCATCAGATCTCAGCCTCCTGAGTGGCATGAGGCACTAGTTCTTAATGATACCTGAGGACTATGTTAAACCAGCCACTTGAAGAGATGGGGTCATCTTTGAGAGAACTGGGGCTCTTGCCAGCTTCCCCTTCTTCTTCCTCAGTCATTCTGCCCTCCCTAGCCCCAAACTGTTTGTAACTGCAATCCTGGTTAGCCTTCCTAAAATCCACTGACCTTTCTGCAAAGAAAATGTGTGGCAAGCACCAACCTCAGGAAATGACACAGTACAAGAAGGGCAAGGATCCTGTGCCCGGGGAAAGTGATGATGTGACAGGAAGCAGAGTGGATACAGAGCAGGATAAGCCAATTTTTGGAGGGGGGGGGGAGAAGCTCAAACTACAAATATATACAGAGGCTGATGATGTTGAGCTCAACTGCACATCTTAAAGAACACTGGCTATTAAGAATTATAAGCCTTTTGCTGTGTATGACAAACCTACAGGCAGCATTATACGTAATGGTGAAAAGCTAAAGCCATTTCCTCTAAATGCAGGAATGAGACAAGGATGTCTGCTCTCTTCACTTCTTTTCAATTTAGTATTTTAGAGTGCCTACCTACAGCAATAAGACAAGATGCAAACGTAAACGGGATCCAAATAGGAAAAGATGAAGTAAAACTCTCCCTCTGTGTAGATGACATGATCTTGTATTTAAAGAATCCCATGGACTCCACTCCCAAGTTACTTGAGCTGATTCAAAACTTTGACAAAATAACAGGGTATAAAATTAACCCTAAAAGATCAATGGCTTTTCTGTATGCCAACAATGAGACGAGCACGGCTGAAATCAGGAAAGCAACTCTTTTTTGTTGTTGTTGTTGGTCTTAGGGCTTGAACTTTGGGCCTGGGCGCTGTCCCTCAGCCAATAGAATTCAAGGCAAGTGCTCTACCACTTCCGTTTTCTGGTAGTTTATTGGAGATAAGAGTCTACAGATTTTCCTGCCCCGGCTGGCTGTGAACTGTGATTCTTAAATCTCAGCCTCCTGAGTAGCTAGGATTACAGGTGTGAGCCACCGGTGCCCAGCGAGCAACTCCTTTTGTGACAGCTCCACAAAAAATAAAATACCTAGGAGTTAACTAAAGAAGAAGGACCTTTCTTTAAAAACCTGAAAAAGGAAATTAAAGCAGAACTAAGGAAGCAGAAAAACCTCCCATGCTCCTGGATTGGGAGGATTAACATCATGAAAATGGGAATACTGCCAAAGGCTATTTATAAATTCAATGCGATACCTGTCAATATCCCAACCTCATTCTTCAATGAAATAGAAGAAGCAATCCAAAAATTCATATGGAACAATAAAAGATCCTGAATAGCAAAAACAATCCTTAGCAGAAAGAACAGTGCTGGAGGAATATCAATACTAATACCAATTTGGTATTGATATTCAAACTCTACTACAAAGCCATGGTAATCAAAACAGCTTGGTACTGGCACAAGAACAGACCTGAGGACCAATAGAATAGAATTGAAGACCCAGAAATGAACCCAGAGATCTATAGCCACCTAGTCTTTGATAAGGGAGCTAAAAAAAATATAATGGAGCCAGGTGCTGGTGGCTCATGCCCGTAATCCTAGCTACTCAGGAGGCTGAGATCTGAGGATCATGATTCAAAGCCAGTCCGGGCAGGAAAAGTCTGTGAGACTCTTATCTCCATTAAACTACTCAGAAGAAGCTAATAGAGGTTCCCTACTTAGAAGTCATCTCAGGGAATTCAAAGTGCTCTGAGAAGGAAATTGGAACTATCAAGATTAAGTTTGAAAAGGTGTGTAACTGACCCGCGAAGAAGCGGCCTGAGGTACCAGTGTCGGACCTGATCGTTGGGAACAGAGAAACTGCCAAGCTGGGAGCTTGCACAAAGATCCCACCCCCAGCCCTCACTCTCCATCCGAGCAGAGAGGCTCCATCCCACCAAAGCCACTCGGCCCCACGGTGGGAACCCCAGAGCTACGCGGGACGCCTAGAGAACACCAGAGCAGAAGACCTGCAAGGAACTGGTGCTAATCCAGAGAGCGCAGAGACAAACCTCAGCGCTCAGAACCTGGCACAAACAGAGACAAACCCCAGCACTCAGAACCTGCACGGAGGACGCATCCCCACCCCTTGGGCGGAGGCCGGAGGCCCATCCTGGGGGCGTGGACCCGAACAGCATCAACCGAGGCAGAGACAGAAGAGAAACACGCAGAGCCACCACCGCCCATCCCATCCCACAACCACCTCAACTGAACTCTGCAATGGCAACCAATGACCTACATCACACAGAAACAACCACTAGCTCCAGGGTGAGTACCCCGCAGGGGACAGTGTATCCCTCAAGGGAGACCAGAGCTGGTGGGAATCCCCAGACCCTGACCCAGACCCCCTACCCCAACACCTGGACCACAGGACCCACTAAAACTGGGAACAGTTCGAGAGTGCCACCAGCCCGTGGAGCACACTCAGCTGGCCAGGCTAGAGCGCCACTGGAAGGGAGCCTAAACACCCAAGCCAGGAACAGCGCCCCTGGGTGAAGACACCTAACAACAGAAGAAATTTGAACTGTGTACTCCAGGCTGCGTAACCTAGGCGGTATTCACAGCAGTACAGGTCCCACCTGCGTGCCCCAGGCCGGGGGCTGGAACCAGGCCTGGGGACCCAGTGCCTGAGCAACACAACCAACTCCTCCCAATTGAAGTCAGAAGCTGAGCATATGCCTCAGCAGAGGGGAGAAAAACAGGGAACTGCACCCCCTGGGAATCACGCCTGTGACAGCAAAAG